GAATGGGTCGCTCTCATGAGCACAGTGAATACAAGCGCGGTACTGTGATATGTTGTACACCTATGCAATAAGTCCATCTGTGACATTTTCTTGCTGCTAAATATTCTAGAGTCAACTGTTAGTGGTATTATAACAAAGTGGAAGCAACTGGGAACAACAGCAACTCAGCCATGAAGTGGTAGGCCACGTAAAATGACAGAGCGGGGTCATCGCATGCTAAGGCGCACAGTGCGTAGAGGTCGCCAACTGTCTGCAGAATCAATAGCTACAGACATCCAAACTTCTTGTGGCCCTGCTCATGAAAACTACAATCTAGTTTATGTCTAGTAGACTTTTACTTACTTGATCGCCGCTCCTGCAGGTTCCAAGACCAGCACCCATTGCCTATTCCCCACTATGCTCCATCAGAGGGAGGCCCACTGACGTTACCATGTACAATGTAGGGCTCATAGCCCTGCATTGTATGCGAGGACACCGAGGGACAGCCCACAAGTCAGAACGTAGGAGGGACAAGAAGAGCGCTGACTGTAGGGGGAATGGGGGATCAGGTAAGTAAAAGTCCTTTATACAAGTACTTTAAACATAAACTAGCAGTTATTACTTGCAGAGTGGAGGTAGCCCCCCTGCAAGGGGAGTAATTTTGTTTTTCTGGAGATTAGTCCCTGAAACAGATGTGTGGATTGGGCAAGTGGCTTATTGGAGAGAAGTATAAATGTAACATTTGAAATGATTGTGTTCCTACCTAGTCCTCAGTAAAGCGATCATAATTGAATAACTTTGATAATATTGACCATGGTAAAAGAGCAACTTAAAAGATAGGTTGCTGCAAGGCTGCCAGGAATAATAATAATTAATAATAATATCAGGTTTCCAGATTTTTAGAAGTGGAGTTTGATGAAGCTCTGGGTGGTAACGTTCTGAAAAAAAAGAGAGATTTTGTAGGTTGATGGGCTAAATAAATCCATTGTTCCAATTGCCTTGGTTTTATGTCATTTTTGTACTTGTATGATTAAGCAGATTTGATATAAAGTATTAATAAATAAAGAACAAATCTTTGCCTTACCTCTTGAATGAAGAGTGATGCTGCCCAGAATTCAGGTTGGTTTACCTGTAGATTGATCTGTATGTTTGTGTTGGGTACAGGTTAAAATAGCAGATATTGCAAAGTGTGCCACAAAGGATTATTGGCTTGTCACAGCTTTTAGCCTCTGATTACTGATTCTCAAGCTTGTTAGTAGAATGATAAAAGCAAACCATTATATGTTTTCCTCTCATGGTAGGGGAACATGGGGGATAGATTGATGTCCTGGAAGAAACATATTCCAAATCTCATAGCAAGCCAAAGAACAGAATGTACTGTTGCTTTGTCATCATAATGGATAGAGATTAGTCATCATATAATTATTATTACTGCAAAAAGCGATGATAATAGCATAGCAAGTGTCATAAGTTCCATAAACAAGGGCAACTATTCAGTCTTCAATTCCTTTTAATGAAATCAGTAAAAGAAGGAGCAAGATTGGTTCATGTGGGTAACAGCATTCTGCACACCACACTTCACCTAAAACTTTGCCATCGTATGTGTTTTAGCTTTCTCCACCTTTCTTCATTATATGATAAATCATTACAGGAAAACCAGTTAGATTTTGAGGGTCTCATATGTAAAACCAAAATACTCAGAGGCAGGGACGTGCGGTCAGGGGAGGCAGGTGGGGCTGAGACTCACCTAGTATTATGGAGGAAAAAGCTGTCGGCTTCAAGTCTGAAGTTGACAGCTTTTTCCTACATTCAGATCAGGTTCAAGCAGGTTATACAGAAGGGACAGCCTCCCAGCTGTGTAACCTGTTATGGACGGAGCACAGCCTGTTAACCTCCCTGGCGGTATGATTATGTCAGTCATTTTGTACCAAAAGCGGTACATTGTTTTGCATGGAAATTTGGTGTTATCTGTTGTAGGCCTGTAATTCTTAGTAAATCTTAGGAAATACTGAGGACATCGATCTCGATGCCTCACCAGTGATGAGCAGGTGAGGGACAGGGAGTCTCCCCCCTGTGTACTCCCTTCCTCCTCCCTCCCTCACACTAGCTTGGTGACCAGGTTGAGGGGGGGGCTTTGGTGTGCTGGGGGCGGGACTGGGGAATGCCTCACCCAGCATGGAAGGTACCGCACGTCACTGCTTAGAGGGATGACACATAACAGACAAGTTGCGTATTACAAATAAAGTAGGGACAAGTATTGCTTTGGCCTTATTATCAACCTGTTAATATAGGCCTTCTATGATCTGTGATAGAAGAGAACACAAATCATTTTTTTCACCATCTTGAAGGCCCTCAGTGTAACCCTGGAGGGCTGCCATTAGCTCACCACCGTAGCAAAAAATAGCTTCCAATGAATGAAAACACAGACATCAGTCCAAGGAAAGACAACCAAAAACAATGAGAAGACGCATCATTCAATGCCACAAAATGTTCCCGAACTCAATGACAATAATTCAACAAAACCTGTTAGCAATGATCCCATTCATTTGTATTTATTCCCTGCATTGAATAATAAAGATTATAAACAATATTTAGACTGATCAATCAAATGATTGTTAAACACTGATAATGCCTTTAAAATGTGTTTATTGTTTGACCTTTGGTGGATGTTGGCCACTGTTTTATTGGGATTGTGGCCATTCTACTATATCGAGCGTGATTTCCCAGTTGGGGTATAAGTCCTACCAAATAATAAAAGACTGTAGTCCAAGAGGCATAAAAAAAAAACAAATAACACTTACACTAGGAAATGTCTGTAACAGAGAAGAGATGAGCATGAAATATACAAATCTCAATAAAACAGGAAGGTGCTAGTGTTCTAGAAATGTATTTTAAAAAAAATGTTTTGTCATGGTAGTGAGGCACTCACAGTGCATACAAATAGGAGCATTAACACAGAAGGGTATGGTGTAGCACCGTCCATAAGTCTTGAGTTGTCATGCAGTATTAAGAAAGAGTACCAAGCCTGTGACCAATCAGAGGGCTGAAACTGTAAAACCCAGTGACATCATAATGCTGCTAAAAGTCAGCTGTTATTAAAATAATGGGAGTTTTTGCTGCCCTCAAACACATAATAAATCTCTGGACATAAAAAAAGGAATGTGAACAAGCCCAGGGCAGTAAATGGACATAAGACCTCCAGGCAAATGTATAATGTGACCTCAGAATGTAATCGAAGCTTCAGAGCAGGAAACAGAAGATATGGCCTGATGGTTAATGAGGCCAGTGAGGCATTGGTCTTCGCAGTGGTGTGGCCACACTGCTCCAGTAGGTTTACTATGTATACATTTCATAGAGCACTGTCAGTGCATTCGGAAAATACATTACATAAACTTGTAAATTTTTTTTATTTATTTTTTGCACCTGAAGTGCATAAAGGCAACTTGTTTGGTGATTTCAGCCTGACCTAAATGCGCTGGAGAACTCAAGCCTCACACATGGGCGCACTCTTCAATTCTTCAATAGTAATACCGAATGGCCTTCCATTTTAAGTGGTTTCACCTTAAAGGAGAACAAAAGTTTAATATATTGCAGCTAATCAATCCTTAGACGTGGTGGCTGCAGGAGCTGTGTATTTTTCAGGCAAAATACATGTTTTGCAATTGCAAGTACAAAAAAATACCTGTTGATCCTGCCAGAAATTCAGAGCCTTGTGTACTGAACTCACATCACGATGTCGCCCTGATGAAGGGACCCTGCACGGCCCCGAAACGTTGGATTTTTGACGCATGTGACAGATCAATAAAAGTACTATCTTTTTTGCACATTACAAGTGTGTGCTGGTGACTACTATCTTTACTTGTGTACTGAACTGACATCTCAAACAATTTTATTAGCCTTCCAGCTATTTTCTGTGAAGTACAGAACACCTCCTCTTCATTTAATGGAGATCTGCAGAGGGAATTGTGTTTGTCCAAACCAGGAGAGCTGCCGAGGGTGACAACGATGCTCTTCATTGGTGCAGAACAGTGAGTGAGTGTAGTCACCCTAGGCCAGGTTCACCATGTGAAAATTAAGAAAACAAAGCCTGAAAAGGGAAACTAATGCAGCCACCACATCAAAGAACCCATAAGCGGGTATATTTTTTTGTTTATGGGTTAGAATATGCTTTGAAAGGGTTTTCAATTAATTTAACATCTGCCACAAGGCTAGGAAGAGCCTGGGGCTACCAGCTCCTGTGGCTGTACTAAGAGGGGTGCCTCCAAGCAATCCACGTATTTGAGAAAATTTGAAATAACACAGTGAATGGAGGTCATCTGAAGCCAACCTATCCAAAGGAGAATATGTGGAGGCCTCTGATGAATATAAGACTTGTCATCACACTACCCCGTAGCACAATAATCTAGCATGCAGGCCCAGATTACTCAAAATTACGCTCCTGGTTCAAAGAGCCAGCATGTAAAATTCTGGGTGTCCCTTGCTTCTCTAGGTAGTAAAAAAGTTCCAGATCCTTGGAAGCCTCCTTCTCCTGGTTTACATTATTAGCTAAAAAAATAGCTATATTTTATCATGAGAAGACATCCTTGTGACTGGTACCTCAATGGCCACAGAAAGCAGTCCAGTTCCTAGGACAGCTGAAGAGTTACAGGTGCATATATCAATTCTTAAGCCCATAGAGGAAATGTCTTAGCAAGAGACCAGCATAAAACCCTTTTAATTTTAGGAACCCTGGCAACAACTGTCCTATGCAAACTCTCAACTGTTCTCCATCAACAGTACTGTGGAGTGCATTTTGGATTTTTTAATTGCTTTCATGGCGTCCTTTTCACTTATAACAGGATTATTCCACTGCAAAAGTGACCTCCATAAACCCGGGTCTTACCAGAAAAGGACATATTCTTTGTTCCTCCAAAAGGATCTTGAAGCACCATCCAAATCCCAATAAATCACTTCTTTTAATGGCTTTCAACTATAGTATGTATTTTGACCCATTTTTTGACCCATGACCTTAAAAAGACATGTATAGGGTTGAGACATTCCTGTTTTAAAGTAATTGCAAGTGGTTCTTATAAATGCATTTATTGACATTTGGATGTTGCTGCTACTATTCCTTTTTATTTCTAATTGTTCCCCCTCCCATGATGTGCTGCCCATTGTGATACTCAATGCTTTATAAGGCTGTTTTGTAAAGTCATCTAGGTCAGAGCAAGTTTTAGTTGCACAAAATGGCTAAATAGTCAAAGTGTTGTTCAGATTTTCTAATTGTCCACACCATAACGCCTGCACTTGAAGGATCACTCTTACAGTGATGAGTCCTCTTCCAAAATCTTTGTCCAGAAAAATGAATCTGACCATAAACCAGTATATCTGGTGTGTGAATGTTCTCTAGTTCTCCAGATTCCAGTTCAGTGTACAGTCTCCTCTGAGTTCATTACAAGGGGTAGGACAGGTGTATTGTTTAGAGGCGAATCTTGCTGAGCCCTTGAAGTTAGGGGCACATCTTCTGAACATGAATCCCCACAATCTGTAGTGAAAGGTGAGCCAGTGACAGTCTGATTGTCCTGAGAGTCCCCACTCCTGGGGATGCCATTGGCAAGGTGTGGGGTCTTTGTGGCCATGATGTTTAATGTGTGTTCTATACTGATGGCCACCAATGGCTGATTGCTCCAGTCTTGGCTCTCGCTTTCAGTTGCCACTGGCTGTGTGTGTGGGTTAGATGTTGGAGTCAAACACTTAGTGGGACCTTTGTCATGATCCAAACTAATTTCTTCTTCCTCTTCTGAGTCCAGCCCAGCACAGTTTCCGCTACGCTCGGACACAGAGAAGTCAGAGTGTACAATGACATCTGCCTCCACTTGATTCTGAGATGGATTTCGGTGATTTCTTCCAACGTCCACCTAATGAGATGTAAATAACAATTATTAATCAGAACAAAACAATATTCTTATTTTGGCATTTGAAAGCTAGTAATGTCCTAGTTAAAGGTTCTGCCTTACACAAATGAATATGTTATAGTGACTTCTTATAGGGGCGCCAATGATCAGACCTCATACTGGAGTTCCGGGTAATAGCACATACCACAATAAAGCCCCATTTCTCCTATTGTGCAATAAAATAAAATGGAACAATCCACCACGAAGAGTAAGACACCCCTGGCAATAGCCATGGCAGCTGAGCTGACCTTAGGCTCAGGTATATTGATGTCATCTCCAGAGACCTGGAAAGATGATAAATCATTGGAAGAAATTTAACTTGCTGATGTCTACCTGAAACTTAAATTTTTGGTGGGCTGGTCAATTAAAGTGTATTTATCTTTACTTCCTGCTTCATAGACAAAAAAAAAAAAGTGAGGGAATTCTCCTCTTAGATAGATGGCACCGCAACAAGCGTCCCCATTTGGAAGATTTCCCTTTTATTTCTGTTCTGGTGACAACATAAAATTATGGGATTTTTCTCTGTCAGTCCTGGTAACAATGGTTACTAGCACAAATAGGTTTAATCTCCCCAGCGGGGACTCAGACATTAAAGGAGATCTATGGGGTTAGGGCTTTTCCCCATAGTTCTCCTAAGGGTAATGGGAGGACACAAACTAGCGTCCTCCCGTCACCCAAAGCTGTAGCTCACGGTATACTGAGACGCCGCAGCTGGAACGGATCTCAACAATGCTGTCTGGATCCACCCAGCTGCGTGAGTGACAGCTGGCTCTGCCTATCTAGAGGCAGAGTCAGCTGTACCCACCCCCTCCCCCGTCCATTTCGCCAGTCAGCGCTGGAGGATTGGACAGGGGAGGGGTGGGGGAATCCCTGCAGGGAGGCGTGAGTGACAGTCACAGCTCTCTGCAGGGATAGATCGAGAAGTGAGCAAGCAGCGGTATGTGTTCGCTCACTTCCCGATCTACTGAGCCAACCTGTGACAGTTTCATTGTCACAGGTCGGCTCAGATTATGAGGCTGAGTGAAAATCCCTCGCCTTATAATTCTCCTTTAATACAAACTTGGTAGGGTTGCTAACCCTTTCCCACTCTTTCCAAAACTAAAAAAAAGGTTTGGCTTTAGATACACTTTAAATGTGGGGCACGGTACGGAGAGGAACAGGTTAATAAATAGCACAATATCCTCAATGACTGGCCAATTAAAAGTAAAATAGTGTATGATGAGAAACACATTACCGCACATTAAATCCTCATCACAGTTTACCTTATGACTTTCATAGGATATATCATGTAGGATCATCCGTATGCCTCCGGTGGTTAAGTGGTTTGCAGAACCATTGGCAGCATTAGCGAGCTCACCGGGTATAGTTTCTGCATAGCTAGTGATGTGATTTGCCCAGTTCTGGGTGATTGACCCATTCCATGAAGTCTGTATGACAAAGAATATGGAATTGTAAGAAACAAGAGATACAAAAAAAGAAACAGGTCTAATGATCACTTTCTAGTTTGTTAGGCAAATAAACCAACTGTATTCATGTACCAGTGATGTAAAAGATGAATCCTAAACTAAAGAGTTTATAGTGGTTTTAAAAAAAAGATACAAAATCCCAAGAAATTACAAAATCATTAATTAGCAAACTAAGGGTCTCCACACCCACTGCAGCCCCGTGGTTCAGTAGAGTCGCAATTTCACATCTTCAACCTCACATCACATCTTCATCTCACTTTCTGTTAAAACGCGGTATTGCAGTTTGACTCATATATACCAATAAATGTGTGGTATATGAGAATCCCTTTTTCTTAACAGCGGAGCTCCAAACAAAACAACTGCTAGTGAATTCAGAAATACCTGATGAATACAAGCAATGCCAACATTTGTTGCACATGTGATGAGAGTACCAAGTGACTCCCTTACATACCATGTGAGAAATTTCCCCTATCGCTAGCCTCTTTCTGAAATGCGAATTGTCTGGCTGTGTTTGGTTTCAATAATTCTATGACACAGACCAAAAATATGCATACAGCAAAGGAAAGCTGAACTAATCTTGTTACAGGTATGCTCTAAAGCTCTAAACCTGTCAGCCATTTTAAGCTTTTAAAAGGCCTGCCTTAGAGAAAACACCACAAGCTGCCTGTAATTTTTTGTAGTAGCCAGAAAGCCCTCCCCTGTGTGCCTCTTTGTTTCACCTTGTTCTGATTTCTATGACTTCTGGCTTGTCTTAAGGTAATATTATTCATTAATTGTGTCTGCAGGATGTTTAGTTTTAAATGTTTAAATTAACTGACGTTTATTTAAAGCTTTACATGAACGCAAGCATGTAAAGATAACATACCCTCCTAACAGCAGTGCCCTTCTAGACTGATATAACATTGAAGTGATACACTTGAAAATGCATTCAAGAGCCCTAACTATTAACAAAAATGAATCTTATTTGTGTATCTCTCGGCTGTACATCCTCAAATCATCTCTGAATTGGTCCCGACACTGTTCTTCCTTCAGGAGGGTAGCTACTTTTGGTCCCCATGGTCTCTGTGTGCGTTGTAAAGTAGCCAGCGCTCCAAGCTCACTCCCGTGATGGACTACAATGTCATGTTTAGGGCCCATTCACACCAATTGCAGTGCGTTTCAGAGCGGTAGCTACTGGAACACACAGCAATCGCACATTAAACTCCCTCCTTCGTTCTGGGTGGGAGGGGGCATGGCGGTGCATTGACGTCAATGGCACCTCAGCCATGCCCCCAATTCGCAGTGCTATCGGATGTGTGGAAAAACATTGCCTGCGTTCCGGTCCAGTTCAAACGCAAAAAATAGAGGTCCAGCTCTGGACCAGAACGCAGGCAATGTTTTGCCACGCATCCGATCGCACTGCGGGTGGGGGGGGGATTGGCTGCAGTGCTGTTGACTTCACTGCACCACCATGCCCCCTCCCATTGCAGAACGAAGGGGGGAGTTTAGTGTGCGATAGCTGTGCGTTCCAGCAACTACCGCTCTGGAATGCACCGCAATTGGTGTGAATGGGCCCTAAGTTAGCTCATTTGTATTGATAGTGTAGTCCATCTGGCATTCATTGTAAGGATCCTCCAAGAAATCGGAAGATTTTCGGATTTTCTCAACCCGACAGCTAGATTCATGAGCCACCAGGCCAGAGAACCTGATCCTTGGTGATAGGCGAGTCGTTTTTTCCAGAGACTCAACTGATTTAACACAATGACCGGATGTTGAGTTGTAAGAGAGTGGAACTGGGCAATTGGCACTGCCTCAAAGGAGGAAAAGTGTCAAAACACAGAGCCCACTGCCTGAGGCTCACATTCCAGGAAGGCCCCAAAATCATTTAGTTCAGCGTGATCCCAAGCTGTTGTTGCAGATACACTAATCCGGATAGAATAGCTGTATATAGAGACTAGTTTAAGCAGCGTGTAGTGAAGTCTTGGTTGAAGAAAAAAGAATCTTGAAGAAAAAAAATTGCTAGTAAAAATGTTTAAACTTTTTTGAGCAGTGAAAAGATGCCCATCCTCCTAGGACACTAGCCAAAAACTGAGGAATGCTGTTTTTTTATTTTTTTTATTTTTGCCAGTGTCGAAATCCTACTGCTGGCAGCAGCATTACCCATATGTCTATGCATTACTACATGCATGATGTGCCCCTCAATGAAGGAAAAAAACAGTATTGCTGCCAGTTGTCCTATAGACTCTAACATTTCACACACCTTCATTTTTAACTGGTTCTTCTCCTCTATTTGGGGGTTAGAGACGAGACCTCCTATAAGTTCAGTGACCTCTGGGATTGGAAGAGAGGGGGTATCTTCTTGTCGAGGAGGCATCAAGGTCTCCAGCTCATGCGAGTCCTGGCAGCGGCTTTGGGAACAGGACCCCTGTCTAGCCCTCTGATAGGAAGAGGGACCTCTGCTAGTCCGGGGCCCCAGTTCAGATCCTGAATCCCTAGAAAAGAAAAAATGTCTATCAAATGGGAAGAGAATAAGACTGCAATATGTTAGTGAATGGGAAAACATAATGCAAAACAATCCTCCTTCATACACTAAATATATTTGTTTTCTCATGTTTTATGACCCAGTTAATCCTTTGTAGACCTTGGGACCTTCAAAACGTAATATGGCTTAGATTTGTTTATACCATTTGTTGGTCATACTTTTCTCATCTAGAGCAGGTCTTTGTCTCTCTATCCATTGACGTAATTATGGCAGTCTTAATAATGCATGCATGTAATTATTTCAAATAAGGAAATAATAGATATATTGCCTTGATTATCTTTATAGTATTAATATCATTGACAAAATATATTGAGAATTTTATTCCCCTTCTTCCAGTTTTAAAACCATATGCATTTAGTTGACTGCAATTTAAAGAAAAGTGTTTTTTTATCTATTTATTTTTTTAAATTTTCATTATTTTACAATAGTACTAGTGTCATAAATCGGGAAAGAATATGTTATCAGTTATTTATTTACAGCATCTGTTATATAATTCTAAACAGGACTGACAATTAGTAAATTATCTTTGAAGACCCCATGTGCAATACTGTAACTGTAGTATGTGTATGTTTTTCAAATAGGAGATACAGAAAAACTATTCATAAGACATCAAAGTCAGGCTAAAAGTGTAGCTGATGGTTGAAAAATGTTTTGCTAATTCCCCATTGGTCAATATTATCAGTGCAGAGGCTAATTTCTGCCTTGTAACATACCCATGTGCTCTGGTTCTTAGAGGACAGGTTAATATCTCGGCGGGTACTTTGGTAAGGCAGGCTAGAAAAGATTTGCCATGAGCCATCACTTCCTACTACTTCGGTCTGCATCAGATAGAAGGCCCATTTACACTGTTGCAGTGTGCTTATAACCCATTCACACCAACCACTTCAATCTTAATGGCATTCCAATCCACCTGCATTGCAATGGATGACAAATAACTACCATGGGTTGTGGTAAGCTGCATTATAAAACATGATGCAGGTCCAATTTTCAAATGAATGGGCTGCCTTAACGCAACACACTATAACTGTGTATTAATGCAATGAACCAGTATACTGTATATGGGCCCTAAAAATCTCTTTTTTTTAGTTCTTTCCTACAAACTATATGATCTATTAAAAGTATCATGTGTCCATTGTCACAGAGCACAGGTATTTGTTTAGCTGCCTGACTCACCCAACCAAAAATCACCTATGATACTTTGCAGTTTTCTGACAGCAATCATTGTTTTCTATAAATCACTAAGAAGTTTTACAGCGCTAATAGGAAGCTGAGATTAAACTTGCATTGTTGTGCAATGCCACAGTGTGCATAATTAATCACAGTTCAAACATCTGTTTCAGGAAGGTTGGAGGTTCTAACAAATGATCCTGGGATTGTGCACTTCCATCCAACTACAAATCACCTGTGTAATTTCAGATTTACAACTTATTTCCTGCAATGGCCATTTGTTCTTTGATAAACTGACATGAACTGTACCCGCTTATACAAATTCATCTGCTACAATGTAGTGCAGGCCCTCCTGAATGGATATCAATTGAATGGATCATTTAAGTAGACAACAGAGTTGAATGTCAGTGCAAAAAAAAATGTAATACATGTACATCTCCCCATGTTTTTTCCCTTTACAAATGCTGAAGGTACAGAAAAATACCCGTTGCTCTGTCAGAAATAAAGTGAGTATAACTTGCTATTTGGATTGACAACATCCCTGCACTGCACTGAAATTCCCAGCAGCATTCTCAACCATGCCTGCCGGACTACAAACTATGCCTATCCGCCCCCCTCTGTCTCACTCCACATGCACACATTAATTTCCTTCCTAGCAAAATAATGCTACTGCCTCGATTCCCAAGACCCTGCCCATACACTGCCTATGGGCACAGGGCTAACTGATGGTTTTAAAATGTTTAGCCAATTTTCTGTTCTTCAATATTATCAGTGCAGAGCTAATGTCTACCTTGTAAAATATCCCTGAGCTCTGGTTCCTAGAGGATAGGTAAAAATCTCAGCAGGTACCGATACGTTTGTAAGGTGGACTAGAAGAGGTTCTAAGCTGCTCTCATCTCCCTCTACTCTTGTCTGCATTATCTAATGTATACTGTTGCACTGTGGTAATGGCCCATTCACACCATTGCCATCAATCTCTCTGTCCCACTCCACATGCATTAATTCCCAGCCAAACAATGCTACTCCCTTGATTCCCAAGAACCTGCCCACACACTGTGTGTAGGCAAAGGGCTTTTGGTACATGTAATTTAGGGGCATAACTATGTTAATAGGAACAGGCCTTCCTGTAACTACCCCTTCAATTTTACAAACCCAATAAGGATACGAAGGGGAGTAATACAAGCTTTTCTGAAAAAAAAAGTCTGAAGATATTGGCTGGTGGGGAAGGGGAGGCGTGGGAGTGAACTTAGGCAATGCCTGGACATACACTAACAAGATTGCACAGAGATTTTACCATCCAGCTATAATGTGCACAGCCAGTTTGAATTATGCTTTATTTGAGGATTTGTATTGCCATGATTATCTTACCTCTGTTTGCCTTGTTGGAAACTTGCACACATGCATAGTAAGAGGCACAGGAGACACAAGCAGACCCCGACAATGATTCCTGTCACAGAATTCATATCCAGGACATCTGAAGAGAAAACATGAGAGAAAACACTTCAGCTACATCCTCCAGAAAAAATAATGATCATGTTCAGGTCTATAGACTACTGAATGTCAATGTCCAGAGCTCACTATGGCACTGTGGAAAGTCATCTATAAATATAACAATATATTTCTGACAATTATTTCTAAGTTTAGATTTGAGCACAGCTTCCCTTTATGTATCTAAAATCATACATTTGCTACAAATACGTAGCTTAGAAATATGTTTCAATAATGGAAGTAGTGCTTCTGGCTTCAAGGATGTTGGCAAATGGTCCCAGATGTGCAGACTGCTCTAGAATCACTACATTCAATACGTTATCATTTGTGCCAGCTATTTTAGTTAAACATACTCCAGGAGCTGCCTTATCTTGCCTCCTTCTGAAAATGCTAGTTGTCTGGCTGTTATTCTGACTCATTGACTTTAATAGTTTCAGAGTTACCAACCTGAAACAAGTATGCAGATTGGTAAAGTTGAGGATTATTATTATCATCATACAGGATTTATATAGCGCCAACAGTTTGCGCAGTGCTTTACAGTATAAGGAAGACATTACAATTACAATACAATTCAAGACAAGATGGAAACGAGAGCCCTGCCCCTGAGGGCTTACAATCTAAAAAGGAGGGGCAAGTGATACATGAGGAGGTAGCTGTGTGGGGATGAATTGTATGAGAACGTGATGGTTGAGTGGTTAGTTTGAGGTGGGATAGGCTTCCCTGAAGATATGAGTCTTAAGTGATCGCCTAAAGGCAGTCCGAGTGGGAGATAGTCAGACAGGTTGGGGTAAAGAGTTCCAGAGGATGGGAGAGACTCTAGAGAAGTCCTGGAGGCGAGCATGGGAGGAATTGTCGAGGGAGCTGGAAAGCAGGATTTCTTTGGAAGAGCGGAGGGGATGGTTAGGGTGATACTTTGAGACAAGGTTGGAGATATAGCCGGGGCCAGAGTTGTGGATGGCTTTGTAAGTGGTTGTTAATATTTGTTAATATTTTGAATGTTATCCTTTGGGCTATTGGAAGCCAGTGGAGGGATTGGCAGAGGGGGGTTGCAGACACTGAGTGGTTGTTTAGGTGGATGAGTCTACCAGCAGCATTCATGATAGACTGAAGGGGGGATAGTCTGTGTAGTGGAAGGCCAATGAGGAGGGAGTTGCAATAGTCAAGACGAGAGATAACAAGCGATTGATGAGTAATTTTGCGGTTTCATTGGTGAGGAAGGGGCGTATTTTGTTACGAAGGTGAAGGTGGCAGGATTTGGATAGTGATTGAATATGGGGAAGAAAGGTGAGGTCTGAGTCAAGGATGACACCTAGGACCTTGGCATGGGGGGAGGGGTGGATAGTTGTGTTATCAATCTCAAGGGAAAAGTTGGGTGAAGGTGCACAAGGGGGAGGAAATATCATGAGCTCAGTTTTCGAAAGGTTGAGTTTTAAGAAATGTTGTGACATCCAGACTGATATTAGTGACTCCAATGGTCTGATTTATCAAAGTTATGGTCAAATTACCTTAACTTGGAAACATTTTAAGCCATGATGCACATGCCCAACATCACACACGGCAAGGAAAAAGCCAATAGTAATTGTCGGTTAGAACTTTCTAATGTAATCATTTGTGAATGAGAATGTTGTGAGGAGTAAGGGAGCTCCAGAGGGAATGCATCACCAATAAGGCAAAACATCAGGCATACACATGAATGGTATAAATGCATATATCTTTACTATTTTACAATAGTATGGTACAAATCTTCTGATCTGCATACATTTTCCTCACCGCACAGCCAGACAGGTGACACATGTAATTCATGATTAGGCAATTCATCTTCCTGGTTCAGCAATGTAACTTCCTATGTCACCTCTGCACCTCCAGTCTGCTTGTTGGACAGTGAACCAGGATCATCACCTCTGTGCAGTGAGCAGCGACCCAGGAATGCTAAATCAAGCAGTAGTAGAATGATCTTAGTGATAAGTAGAGATAAGCCTGGGTTTGGTGTGAACACAGTTCTCCTGAGTTTGCCCAAAACTCTGACCTCCAGTACCCTCCTCCCTCCCTAATCAGTATTGGCTGTTGCGTTGGGGGGCATCTCATGCCCCTTTGTGAATTATAGCTGTGGGGCAGGGAATGCACCACTTAGCAACTGATTGGGTCGGGACATGGGGGTGGCAGTCAGAGCTTTGAGTGGGCTTTGCCGAACTCAAGTGATCGAGGTTTGCACCAAGCCGAGCATCATCTCTAGTGACATGTAGTGATGAACAAAGGCTAGGTGTGAACACAGTTGGCATGGGTTTGCCCAAGCCCACACAAAACTATGATTGACACATCCCCTCCTACATCACAAATCAGTTGTGGCCGGGACATTCCCCACTACAGCTACATGTCACACAGGGGCAGGGAATCCCTCTGCCACAACTGATTGAACATCGGGGGGTGGCATTTACGGTTTTGAGCAGGCTTGGGCAAGCTCAATAATGGCTGGAAAAAAACAAATGTTGTGTCAAATACATCTGTAAACATATATATATATAAATAAGAGATGTCCTCCTTTTTAGCTTTTTCTTAGGAGCAGTATTATACACAGAACTCTACAGGTAGCTTTGAGGAATAGATGCTATGAGCTCATAAGGGACAGACAGAGGGACAGTGTTTTAAAAGTTAATTAACATACAGTGGTGGGCATTTACCAATCTGGTTGGCATCATCAGCGTCTTTTAAATTGTTGTATCCCCGAGTTCTAGTGCATAGTGCAAGGAAAATTGCCTCAAAACTGTTGCAATCCCGGAGGACAACTGAATAGCCCCAAAGTGCTTAGCTGACTAAAGGGTATGAAGTTGAAATACACTGAGTGGCCAGATTATTATGACCACCTGACGTTTGTAGGCAACTTAGCTATAATTTTGCGCTGAAGTTGCTAGAGGGTCAGACCATTATAAATAGGCAGGTAAATAAATAAAGCAGGTTGTTTACCACGATAGTAGAAGTGATTTTTTTCTGAAGATATGGGTAAACAACAGCGCTCGGAGCCATGGAGCGAGTATCAGCAAAAATCTGGGTCGGAACGTGCAAATTGTGGCCGTCAGCGACTAGTCAATGTTGGGGCAGAACGGAGAGTGGCAAGACTGGTACAAGACAACAGAAGGGCAACAGTGCAGTGTCAGATTCCTCGCATCACCTTTCAACATCTCGTGGAGTCACGAGGCGGCCCAACGAAGTCATCTCGTGGAGTCATCTCGTGGCCCAACGAAGTACTGATGGGGGTGGTCATAATAATCTGGCCACTCAGTGTATGTTTGTGCTACTTTAAGAAGTGTTTATGATGACTTCTAGAACGTGTGACGGTTTGGAGGTCTATTAATGTAGAAAATTCTGGACGCTATTACTGCACAGTCGAGAAATTATGCGAATTAGCGAAAAACATGTGCAGTGAGTCGCAAACATGAATATGTCGCAAGTACACTTAAAAAATACACATAATAGAGATGAGAATTTTTGGTTAGTTAGCAGGATGTTTTGATCTTGTTTACAAGTGATAATGAAGTCTGCCAGCACAGTACAGACAGAGTTAATTATTTGAAACAAAACTTCCCCCCACCTTCCGGACAGTGAGAACTAAGCAGACTTTTTTCAGCCCTGGGGTTTGCAGGAACATCAATGAAATATGTAAGCTGCAATTTTTACTTTTTTGATGCTATGTGAATGGGAACATGTAGCAAATGTAAAGTACAGTAGGTGGTATACCAATTTGGCTACAAAAGTGGAAATACATTAAAAAAGCTGGTTAACAATATGTGACCAGTGATAATCTGGATGGTGTGATGGTGTGAATGACCCCCGAGATGTAGCAAGCCATCATGTGTTTCCACTTGCCAGCAGCAATGGGCAGAGGAAATATCAGTTTTGGGTAGAGGAGGTTTTAAAGAGGCAAAGAGCAGATTTTGTAATACCTGGCAGTCTTGGAGGCAGTGTCTCCACCTCCACCACTTGGGAATAGGGTCCCCAGCCTGATGATGTCTTGGCGCCCATCTTGAAGTAATACTTTGACCCACTTTGTAAATCGTGAACTTCTGTACTGAATACATTACCTGGAACAATAAAGCACACCCACCAGAACAACAAAGCATGAGCTCTCAAAATATACATAAAATGCCATTGTCACCACAACTGGAATAAATTAATAATGACCAATTGCAAAATGCAGTAAGCCAAAGCATACAGTGGAATGAGTCTGGTTGCTAAAAGTTACTGCACTTAAAGCATATGTAAATCTTTAATTGTATATATTGCAGCTTACCAACTCTGTGTTATTGTTATGGTTTTTTTTTTTTATACTTTACTGTTGGGAGCTTTGGGGAATCATAAGGGGTCTAAACAGACCCCAGACATTTCCCTTTTGAAATAGAAAAATAGATTGAGGACACAGAATCCTAAATCTCTTTTTCTGCAGCCCCTGTTATGAATGAACAGGAAGCCTCTATACTGAGTGCTCCTGTCCATTCATAAACTGAGGAGATAGTATTAGTTACTATGTCCACAATTGTGAATGAACAGGAATTGATGTAAAGCACTTCTAATTCATTCATAATTGGGGACAAAGTAACTAGATATCTAAGTTATTTACTCCAAGCTTGCTCCTGTGATGGACTGCAATCTCAAAACAAATGAGTAAACTAAACATGAGATTATAGTCCATCACAGGAGCAAGCTTGGAGCGTTGACTACATTACAACACACAAAGGGACCATGGGGAATAAAAGTAGCCACCCTCCAGAAGGAAGGACAGTGTCAGCACCAATTCAGAGATGATTTGAGGATCTACAGCTGAGTGATACAAAAATTAAAATACATTTTTGTTAATAGTTAAAGTACTTAAATGTATTTTTAAGATTCAACTCCTGAGTTTAGTGTCACTTTAAACAAAAGTATTTTTCTTCTGCCTGTGTTACTGTTAGAGTGATTTCCCCTTACTTTCTGTCCAGAGAATGACCTTTTTACCAGACAGGAACTGAAGGAATCCTAACAGAGCCTCCGATGGCAGGAGCTGTAATTGTTCCACAACTAAAAAAAAAAAAGATTTTGGCTACAGATAGACTTTAACCCTTTTGCTGCCACGGGCAGTGGCCCCGTTTACACAGACTTACGGCGGAACTCTGTTTACATTTGTAAAGCCAGCTATCGGGTTTACAAAAGAAGTGATTCTGGCAGCTCAGCTGCCGCCAGATCGCTTCCACGGCCGGACCCACTCTTTTGGACCGGGAGCAATGCAGATTACATCACTTCCAGTAGCTGTCATTGTTCGGCTATTGAAGCCCAGCAATAAGCTATTGAAGTCCGATCTGCACTTCAATAGCTTACTTAGAGTGTAAAGGTGATACTAGGGGTCCACCCTGCGAGTACGCACATTCACGGAAACATCGGGTGCTCCTACGTACGAAAACAACGATCGCAATACACATGTTGGGTATCGCCATGCACACCAAAGTGAGAGCAATAACTCTTGTGCCAATATTTACGTGTATCCCTAAACTGATGACCTATAGGGGCTTTTAAATTCTCATCTACGATTTTTTAGGGTACTGAATTTTGTCGCGGTTTCATGGACACACTCAATTTTCTAACCTGGGCATGTTGGGTATCTATTTACTCATCATAAGCTCGTCTTTTATATTTTACAAAAAAATGGTATTATATTGTGTTTTGGGGCACTAAAATTAACTTAAGCGCATTTTTAACCAAATCTTCGGGTTTGATAAAGCGTTGCGCTATTATCATGCAACATAAAAAGTTGCAGTTGCCACTATTTTATTCTACAGGGTCTTGACTTTCAGAAAATATATAATGTTTGGGGGGTTTTAAGTAATTTGTAGGCCTAAAATGTGGATTATATCTTGTGTGCAAAAAACGAAAAATAAAAAGGCCTTGGCAGCGAAAGGATTAAAGCGAATGATAAGGAAATGTTGCCAAAATACAAGAGTCATGTGTATTCTTCAATGAATCTTGGTATGCTTTGTATTTCATCCAGATCTGTGTAATCCTGTATGAAACTTGGCCTCTGTGCAGGAGCTTCCGATAATAAAGGCCGGTCACTGCTACTCTCTCTCCTTGTGCAGGGTGACTGGTCTTGTATCTGCCCCCTTCTGTCATTTTCTGCAGGCAGTATGTAGTGGGTGGACCTGCTAGGTGCACCCTACCCTCCCCAGCTCTGCTCTTTGCACAGGCTATGTACTGCACAGTGATGAGGTCACAAGGTAATATCTGGATGGCAGGTTGTGGCTATTGAGTAATATATTTAAATGAACATTTTCATGACCGGAGTTCAGCTTTAAGGTTTCTCCCCCATCCTGGATTGCAGCTCTAGTTAATCTTTCAAATGCTGAAACTTAATGGAAAGTGGCGTCACTGTGGTGGGTTCTTAAAGATTTCTAAATAATAGTGGCCACACATCATTGTCCTCAGATAACCATATGAAAGACAAACTACAGAAAGTATAACATACAATGATCAGAAAATATTCCTTTTTGTTATGTATTACTACCCCTATGCTAGCATTTCCTCACCTTCCTTGGTTAAAAGAGTCCACATTTCATCAGGATGGCTTCTGTTGGCAGTGTACAAGATCAAATACTGCAAGATGATTCCATTGGATTCCAACGGAGGGCGCCAGTGTACCTGGACTGAAGAGTGTGACACAGGCTGGAGCAGTAAGTCCGCTGGAGGGGAGGACGGTCCTAGACAAAAAAAAGGCACATGTTACATTGACTTTTGGCAGCAGCTGAATATAGTTCAAGATCAAAATAACAAAAACAACTACTAGAATAACAGAAAGTTTGTACATTTCATAAATGACATTTCCATATCTGAAAAGTTAATTTACTAAAATAACAACATAAAAATCGTGCAATGAAAATAATGTTTGGTAGTCAGAAACATCAATAGGGGGAAATTTACTAAAATTGGAGTAAAGTAACCAATCAGATTCCATCTTCAGCATGTTCAGTTGAACTTTGAAAATGAAAGATAGAAGCTGATTGGTTGCCATGCACAGCTGCGTTTTAAGGTGTGCAAACTGTCAAGGTTGCCAGTGTGCTTATTTCAGCTCTCAACCCAACTTTAAAGCCCTCAAATCAAATGGCGGGTGCTATAGCTGATCACATGTGCAGCACTATGGCAACTGCAATCCAAATAGAGGCTAAAATGGCACCTTCCTTGGCTGTCAGGGATAGTGTAGTTACCCTTTAACACTGACAGTTTTTTTTAGATTCTTTTTTTCTTTTCTTTTTTTCCTATGTACACCTTTGCAATGCATTACTGCATGTGTGTTACCACATGTTGTATTAGGGCAGACTATGACAACGCAACAGTACACAATATGTGCACTGTTTTGAGCTGCAGTGCATGCACATTGCTCCCTACTTATTAAACCAATAAATACCCCATGCCAATATGAGCTAAAAATTAGGAGAGCTACAAAGCACTCAAAAGTACACCCAAATAAGTGATACTCTACATGACACACAATAGAACAATATACTGCTGAGCTACAATCAAAACAATGTAACTATATATACACAATAATGGTAATACAATGTGTAAAAAAAAATGAAAACAGAGTAAAATCAAACAGTGATACAAAATAAGTATTTGTAACAAATGTAAAGTCCAAAGAGGGATGAAGATTCCAGTGTCTGAAATGATTATAGTGCTCAAGGTAAGGAATAATACATCCCAGGAGACATCGAACGAGCAATCATTGTCAACTGCACAGTGTGGGGGGGTGTCCCACCCGGCAAAGGAATCAGAGTTATGAGAGTTAAGCTAAGGAATTAATAGATCTTGCCTAAGCCACATGTACACAGGTAGAAGTAAGTAACAGGAAACTTGCATTCAGAATGTGCAGGAAATATATTGTGCATCTTACTCACTATCTGGAAGGGTCATCTTTTCTACGATGTTACTGTAAGGTCCATCAACTCCAGCTCCATTCGACTGCACTGCAAACTCATATCGAGTAAATTGTTTAAGGCCACTGATCAGAATTTCCTCCATGACACTGAGAACAGAGAATAGGTATGGTAATGACACTGGGGCAATCTTAGAGAGTCTCACCCTTTTATATGATCTTCACCTTGTGGAAGGTTTCTTGAATAAGTAACATTTATCAATATAGGTATTCCTTTTTGGAAAGTTGCATATGTATTAACAAAATACAATACAGGCTTGTTCACACCGGGTGTGTTGAGTTGCGTTGATCAGCTAGATTAAAACAAGCTCAATGCAAGGACACTGAGAGAACAATGGTTCCATATGTGCCCTGTTCACACATACAAGCACCTTGGTGCAAAAAAAAGCAAAATAAAGCAGTTTATCCTAAAATAAAGGTCATATCAACATAAAATAAAAAAAACAATATACCCCATAATAAAATACAACCCCAAAATACCACTCACTGAAACAAAAAGTCTTGTTTTTTCAAAGGGAAGCCTTGTAATAAAAAGTTTGCTATGGATGGGACAGCAGATAAAAGTAACCACTGATATCAAATTAAAAGAGAACTATGAGTTAAGACAGCTCCATTGAATAGCATTGGCCGGCGACTTCTCGCGGCAAAAATGCGCGATGTCGCGGCGGAAATCGCGCGATAAGTCGCTACATGTGAACGGGGCCTAAATCTCTGTCAGGTCAGGTCTCCCTATCCTTTCATTACATCAGCTTCCAATGCACTGTCACTATATCTGCTCTTACTGGTCGTTCTAAAGGTGCCCATACACTGCTCGATTCTCGTACGAGAATCGCGGGAAACCCCGAGATCGTTCGAGAATCGAGCAGTGTGAACGAAGACGTGCGACCGTCTCTACTGTACGGTCGCACGTCTTTTGTCTAAGGAGCACGCTAGAAAATCGTACGATTTTCGGCTGGTTTGAACGGTGCTCGGGAGACAAATGCCGAACTGGCCCGTTCAGCATTGCGGTCATCGGAAGGCCGCCCCTCAGGGGGGCGGGCTTGTGATGATCGAGAGTACGATCTGCCTGTCCAAGATGGGCAGATCATACTTTTTTTAATTACTTTACAACCAACGCAAGACTAAGGTCTTGCGATGGCTGTACAGTGTATGGCCACCTTTAGATTGCAGGCCATAGTTCAAAGGCCATTCAGTGCATTATAGGTTTTTTTTTAATTCTCCTGGGTAAATCTGCACATAAATTAGCTGTGATCACAAATCTCCAACCTGCACCTCATCCCTACCGGACAGCACTGAAACTTGAACAGATAAAACAAAGTGCTGTTAACGGTTATAGAACAGATGAAAAGGGAGCAAACAAGAGAATTTAATTGTTAGGGTTGAATACACTTTACATAATACCGTATGAAATAAACATTTTGAACTGTACCCAGCTGACTGCCTGTGAACAGACAGTATAAAGTACTGCAATGACTGTACTTGTACCCAGTAAGAAGAGGATACAAGTGCCTTCTCTGGAAATAAAAGTGTCAATACTCAAATGACATCTCTCCCAGCACTGAACACACGTTTTGCTAAATTAAAGTGACATTAAACCCTCAGATTTGTTAACATAAAACAATACTGTAATGTGCACCTTACTGTAATCCATGGTAGTTTCCCTTCTCTTTGCTGCTCTTCCTTTTAAATCCGTATCTGTTCTCAAGCTCTGCAGAACTTCTGTTTTGCAGCAGACTGCCTTGTCTCAGGAATGGATATATGGTGTCGGTGTATAGGTTTGTAACCTGAGCCAGCACTACAGGAAGAGGCCCCGAGCTGAAAAGGGAAGTTCTCCCCCAGCATGAGAAGACATGAGGATTTTAAAGGAAGAGCAGCAAAGAGAAGGGAAACAACCATGGATTACAGTAAGGCACACATTACAGTATTGGTTTATGTTAAAAAAATCTGAGGGTTTAATGTCACTTTAATTAATATATTTCGTATTAAAAGGCTCAATTTACAAAAACAAATATTGCCTTGGTTTGGAATCATTCATTTCCTCCATAAAATGAGCAGATAACTATTGAAGGCTTTTATTTCTCATCAATTCTGTATGTCATTTTATCACCTCCTGAAATGGTCCCGCACTCTGCACTGCTGACAACTGACAACTCAAACCAGAAGCTGGCAATAGTTGAGAAGTCCTGTAATAATGTTTGTGAACTGACTTTGACATATGAAATATCTCAAATATCAATAATACATACATTGTAAATTCAGTGGACCTGTGTGACATAACCTTCTTGTTAATTGAAAATACAATTTGCATCAATAAACAATCAAATAACACACTGGGATAACGCATACATTAGACTTTTGTGAATTGACACTATTGGATGCTGTGCAAATTGTCTAAGGTAAATACATTCTGTACAGAGGTGTGATGAGTATTGATACTTCATGGGAAGAGTGATCGGTTAACATTATGGAGTACTCAGGACCCTCTCACACCATCTGGGAGCATGATGGTTCAAGAGAAACCACACTCTGATACAAAAAAGCACATGAGGACCGTAGCTAATATCTTTTCAGGCTGAGGATACAAGTGCCTTCTCTGGAAATAAAAGTGTCAATACTCAAATGACATCTCTCCCAGCACTGAACACACGTTTTGCTAAATTAAAGTGACATTAAACCCTCAGATTTGTTAACATAAAACAATACTGTAATGTGCACCTTACTGTAATCCATGGTAGTTTCCCTTCTCTTTGCTGCTCTTCCTTTTAAATCCGTATCTGTTCTCAAGCTCTGCAGAACTTCTGTTTTGCAGCAGACTGCCTTGTCTCAGGAATGGATATATGGTGTCGGTGTATAGGTTTGTAACCTGAGCCAGCACTACAGGAAGAGGCCCCGAGCTGAAAAGGGAAGTTCTCCCCCAGCATGAGAAGACATGAGGATTTTAAAGGAAGAGCAGCAAAGAGAAGGGAAACAACCATGGATTACAGTAAGGCACACATTACAGTATTGGTTTATGTTAAAAAAATCTGAGGGTTTAATGTCACTTTAATTAATATATTTCGTATTAAAAGGCTCAATTTACAAAAACAAATATTGCCTTGGTTTGGAATCATTCATTTCCTCCATAAAATGAGCAGATAACTATTGAAGGCTTTTATTTCTCATCAATTCTGTATGTCATTTTATCACCTCCTGAAATGGTCCCGCACTCTGCACTGCTGACAACTGACAACTCAAACCAGAAGCTGGCAATAGTTGAGAAGTCCTGTAATAATGTTTGTGAACTGACTTTGACATATGAAATATCTCAAATATCAATAATACATACATTGTAAATTCAGTGGACCTGTGTGACATAACCTTCTTGTTAATTGAAAATACAATTTGCATCAATAAACAATCAAATAACACACTGGGATAACGCATACATTAGACTTTTGTGAATTGACACTATTGGATGCTGTGCAAATTGTCTAAGGTAAATACATTCTGTACAGAGGTGTGATGAGTATTGATACTTCATGGGAAGAGTGATCGGTTAACATTATGGAGTACTCAGGACCCTCTCACACCATCTGGGAGCATGATGGTTCAAGAGAAACCACACTCTGATACAAAAAAGCACATGAGGACCGTAGCTAATATCTTTTCAGGCTGGTCAAGAACGAAAAATAAAAATATAATTTTATATTGAATTTCCATAAGTATCGCACTACTAATAACCATATTGATCTAGAAGTGTGTAAATTTACTTATTGAAGATGCCCATAGGATGTACTTTCTTAATGCACTGACACAATTTCACTCAGCCCTGTAAATAAACACTTCCTTGTGTCACAGCTCTTACAGATCCTTCCTTCTGAACTACAACTCAACGTCTGAACAATGTAACATTATCATTGCTTGCTGCAAGCAATGTATGATGGGAAAGGTAGTCTTGAGAAATAGAGATTGCATCAAATCAAGCAGCAGAGAAAGGGATGCAAAGCACACAGGGAATCGTGTTTGGCAGACAGAAGGCAGCACTCACTACATAAAAGGGATTTTTCAAGTAAGCTTTGATTGTATTATTAAAAAGAACTCTAGTATGTATCATTATTACAATGCTGATGTAACTTATAACAGGAGAGTATATGCTGGGACATTACAACTCCTTTAGAGTAAGACAAAATGTTTCTGTTACAAGGAAAGAAGTGCAGGCACTTTTAGTAAATGGTAATCATATTAGGGTAGGCAGTTATTAGATCTTTCCTTATTACTGATGACAGTTTCTTCCACTTATGGGCAGTGTGTGATCATTATAGAGGTTCTCCGACTTACCTGCTGTGATAGGTGAACTGCGAGGCATTCTTGGCTCCCCATGGCCCACAACGTACAGTATAATTCACAATTCTGCTGCTTATTATGGGCTTCCGCCATTTCACCCATACAGATGTGGAGCTGTTAGGTTCCACCTGGATATGACTGGGCGGCAGGGGTGGGATCCGCTGGGCTTTAAAATCTAAAGCTCAAACAGATAGACAGATCATACAAAAACTATAATAAAGATTTAAATTGCTACTCCTAACAGGAATGACACTACTTTTGTAACACTATGTTATACTTGTAATAGTAATGGCAATAAGTTACACTAGGTATGAGAAAATAACACTCATAAAGTAATTATTAATAATGTTAAATAGTTTTAATTATAGACAAGATTACATGCCCTTTTCTAGTCTTCATGGGAAGTGTACAACACAGCAAGTGTTAGGATAACCCAGAAATATAAATCTCTGCAGACACTACTAAAAGCAACACTATAGGCAAGCGTGACTCATGGTCCAGGGACAGGGTTGGCAGAGGATGTGATGCCAACCTGCGCCTGTTCCTGTAGTGCCCATAGCGCATACCAACCCATGACTAAACGTCCTCTCCATTGCCCTTTCCTTGAACAATTGTGTGGCTAAATTGCCTCCCGCAGAGGAAAGGGGACATAGCATGTATGGCTAAACAGTTTATAGGAAAGGGATGGGGCTAGGTAGGGGAGAAGAGGTTATGAGGGTTGGGGGTTTTAGGTATGGGAAGTAGTGGGGTGTGAGTGTTAGCTGCGGAGGCATTAAGAGGCGTTAAAGATGTAAAGTCTGGAGAATTGATGGCAAGGTTGAAGCTCAGGAGCCTCTGCTCACATCTTGCATTAAGACACAGGTTCCTCAAGGTATACCATTGCTCCTAAGCCATGTGGTGACGAGTCAGAGATATAATTCTATCTGTAACAAAAATAGTATTTGTTGCCCGCAGCAACCAATCAGATTGATTAGAAATCTATTTTGCAATTTACTTTAAAAATGGAAAGAGGAAATTTGCTAGGAGTAGCAGAGACAGTTCTGCTTTCAGATATAATGATATGATAATGAGTCTGTCATTTATTAATGTGGTGGGCAGATGAACACCTTACCTGGTGGGGCAGTTGGAATCTGTCTGGTTTTTCCTTCCCACACGACTGTCTGCACTTCCTGTTTCTTATAGTATGCCACCAATCGCACTTGGTACAGCTGTCCAGGAACTGTAATAAGATAAAGACAAGAGTTAAATTAACATCTTTTTCATTTCTGTGAGATAGGTTTACTCTTTACTTGTTTACCTAAGATATAAGAATCTGTGATAGGATGGCACTCTACACTGGCAAATATAGCATTATATAGCTGGATGTTTCCATTCTGCCTACTGGGTTGCTAAATAGTGATTGACTAAAGACTAGATAGGAAGCTGGCCACCGACATTATTTACCAGTTGGACCAGGTAATTTGAGGACAGTGGTTTGTCATTGCAAGACAACAAATGGGCGGAGCCAGTTGTGATGTCACTGCCGACTCCGCCCATTTGTTTTCATTTGATACGTACCAGCGGAATGTATCAGCGGACAACACTGAGCATGGTGATTGACCTTTGGATTTCGTCAGTGGATCCATTTGTGGGGTTTTTATTTTTTTATTAAAGGGATTTTTACAAACTTTTTTTTTTTTCAATGAAACAATTTTTTCTAAAAGTGTTGTCTCTTTTTGTTCATTTTATTTTAACCCTTTAGTGAATGAGTAGGGGCACAAGTACCCCTTACTCATTCACAAGGGGGGGGCAGCATCTGGGTGCCCCCTTTATAAAGGGTTAGTTCAGGAAGTTCAGGGAAGCGGAGCTGAGAGAGTTGGAGCCAACTGTTTAGAACCATGAAAGTGTTTGGGCAAAACTGTAAGCAAATACTTTGCTGGGCAATGTATATTTGTTCGATCTGGATTCATCTTTGAAACAAGTTTAAGTATTTAATTCTACTTTAACCATGAACTGTGATATTGCCCAAACATGCTTATTAATAAACTAATCAGACACCATTGTCCTTTTCCTGTGAAAATAATAGAAGTTAGCTGGAAAATGAATGATCCTGATCAACTTTGTCGTATAGTATTGAGCCAGCAAGTGTGCCAACATCTGAAGGGGACCGCTGACATTATAATCATCATTAAAGCCAAACATATTGGGTGACAATCTGCTAATTAGGACCTCATATCAGTCTAGCCTAACTGATAATAATCCTACTATTAGTTAAAAAGAATGTATAGAGGTTTTAAATATAAATCCTTTTTCATTTATTATAGTCAAGTCTATAAAAAACATTTTTTTTAAGGTAAATAATATTATTTATTTATTACAGGTATTTATATAGCGCAGACAATTTACGTGGCGCTTTACATACTCCACATTCACATTCATCAGTCCCTGCCCTCAAGGAGTTTACAACAGATGGTCCCTATTGCACACAAATACTAGGGCCAATTTAGACAGGAGCCAATTACGTTTCTAACATGTCTCTGGAGTGTGGGAAAAAACAGAGTACCTGGAGGAAACCCACACAAGCACAGGGAGAACATGCAAACTCTTTGTAGATAGTGTCCTGACTGGTATATTAAGTATTGTTTAGTATTATATGCACTTTTATTGTCAGCCAGCAGATGGATGTCCCTGAATGTTGGCCAGGTACACACATGCTCAACCAGTATTGTATTTAGTGATGTAAGCAGGGAACCCTCAGGACTCTCCTCCTCAGTAGTTCCTGGACCCATCAAACCATTCCCCTGCCATAATTCCCCTCCTTTTCAGTTGTGGCTGCACAGTAAAAAACTGTGAGCTTGAATTTATCTGGCTAGGGCATAGAATCCCAGCATGGGGCAGCTGTCTAATTAAGTTTAGCTGTTCTGCAACATAACAGAAGCACCACAAGACCATGCAATAACTAACTTTGTGTTAAAACCGCAAGCAAATAATTCCATGCCTTATATCCCATTAAATATTTCCCCGTTTGACAACTCAAGCATTATTATCCCAGGAGAATATGACTTGACATGTATGTTACAGCCTGATGAATCCAGCCTATTAAGTATCTCAGCAGGGCCCAGACAGATTTTAGCCACATTCTACCCCATGTGGCTCAGGCTACCCACAGATCCAGACAAGGCAACTCACTGAGGTCAGTTATCTCATATTGTTTCCTCTTTTTCTTCAGCTTAATAGGCCCATGGTCCCAGTCATTCTTCCCTTGCCATGGACAAGATGCAGCAGGATCTGGGGCAGGACACATCATGCGGTAATAGAGTCTGTAACCGGTGATCAGAAGGTCGGTGCGGGGTAGCTGCCAGCTGACAAATACCGAGTCTGTGTGGGCAATGACTTTCAATTGTACTTGTGCCTGCTCCACTGTAAAGAGAAAGGAATGGATATATTTGTGAGTCCAAGAGAGATAACAAAAACACAATACTGATAATCATGACAGTGTGACAGATGAGCAAGTAGGGAAAAAAAATCTCAGTGCATACCTCAATTAAAATAGACACAGATGTAAATAAAATGTCTAATGGCTGTGTTGGGTTGTAAATAAACTTAGTAAAGCAAATATGTAGGTAAAAAAAAACATGAAAAAATGAACAAATAATCAGCACTGCTCCCTTAGCTTTGCACAGTAAGTGAAATCTATACAAATATTACCTGTGCTATGTCCTGGATGGCCCTGCCCACTGCATATAAAACAAGCAGTGCCAGCCTGTGTCCGTGTAATGATGGTGGGGGTTGTGTACTTAAAGAGGGTATTAAAACAGGACAAAGATGTAAAAAAGCTTTATAAATAAACTGTGCCACACGTGAAAAAACCCCAAAACAATTGAATATAAAACAGTATCAGATTATGAGGATACTATAAACCTTGATGCATGTAGAATGTTACATATTGGAACCTTGAGGTGAAATACCAAACATTTCATAATTTTCCTTAGATGTATATTGGCTCATTCTAGCCAATAGATGTATCATTCTAGTTTTCTTAGCTTTTCCAACTGCATGTTTTTCGTTGGAATATGGCATGTCTTTGTATAGAACTAGTTGGGCCCAAACTTTATGGCTTGCTGGTCATGCGACTTGTGTGACATCAGCAATCCACCTCAATCATGACTACTGATCGCTGAATGACTACTGAAGCAGTGAGGGAAAGATGAATCCAAAAATATAATATAATAAGATATCTCCAGAATATCCAGACCATGAGTGCACCAAACACCACCACTAGCAGGTCTGCAATGTAATTATAAAAGGCTGAAACTGGATATTATTATTATGCCAGGACATTTTTAACACCATTGATGACTACATTGTGGAAGGTGCACACACTACTGTTCATTTTCTCATGGGGCAGGAGGTTACTTTGCTCAGTAAAGCTATGTTTCTTTAATTTTTCATGCAATGGATGAGGCAGTTTCTCATTTTTATTTTCTATGGTCTATAATTGTTATTAATCTAGGAGCAAAAATAACTCCTTTAAGAATACTAATACAACTACCTGTATTTTAAGGACATTGCGGAGATGTCAATCTTGACCTGTGACATGGCAAGGTTAGATTGTCACATGGAATGTGTTGGAGATCCCCAAATATTCACACACCTTGTGTCTGGTTGACTCTGTCTAGAGTGCGCTGCAGTGCCCAGTTAGAGGGTGCACCATATCCTGCAGAGGTGCTGGCTGAAATCCGCACTTTATATACAGTGCTGGGCTGCAGGGAAGAGAGCGTAACCCCAGTCTCATTTCCTTTAACTTCCACAATGGAGACCACGCCTGAGGGGGACATAACAAGGACAGGAATATCACAACATGGGAAGAATTTGAGCAATATCTGAAGTCAACAAGTTCTAGAGAAACACTTGGGTTTAAGCAAAACCATGATGCAATAAGCAGAAGAGTGCACTCATTCTTGTGTTTTTTTTGTAATGAAGAAGCACATTTGCGTCAAGATCATAGTTTTAAAGTGAGGCTGGTAATGATTAAAATTACTTGGATTCATTTTGATTAATTATAACGCATATACAGATCCAACTACATTGGCCTACACACACACTCAAACATTATGAGCGGAATGTATCAAAACTGAAGCAAAGGTATCTGGATTAGTTGCCTATGACAAGCAATCAGCTTCTCTCTTCAGTTTGTTCAGTTAAGGTTTAAAAATAAAAGGTGGATGCTGATTGGTTGCCATAGGTAACTGCTCCAGATTCTGTCTGCTCCAGTTTTGATAAATTCCCCTCTATGTATGTTATTACTTTCAGGGCTAGTTCACACCAGTTCCAGTGCATTCCGGTCTGATACGTGCTGGAATGCACTGGATCGCATCCCGGCCGCCTCACTGCATTCTGGGGCGGGAGGGGGCGTGTTGTTGCATTAAAGTCAATGGCAACGCAGTTACACCCCCCGGCCGCAGTGTGATCTCCGGAACACATGGCAAATCAATGTCAGTGTTCTGGTCTCTCTGGGCCCCCCAAACTGGCGGAACACCAGGGCCCAGTCGCAAATGCGACTGATGCAGCCCTGGTAGTTTCGCCAGTGCCGATATCTGCGTTTAGTATTGGGTCATTTTCACGAGTACAAGTGCTTCTGAAAATGCCCAGTATTGGCACAGGTGCATCCCTACTTAATATAATGTATTGCTGGGACTTGCAGTCCTGCATAGTTGGTGGTATTCAGCATTGCTGTATAATCATTATACATCAATGCAGAACACCACCAGCTATACAGGACTACAAGTCTAAGCAATACATTATAATGTAAATTAGAATACCCCCAGTTTAAACCCCCCC